TATTTTAAAATCTAAAAACACTAAGTTGAACTAGCACCGCAATGCTCAACTCCCCAATGTCGCTACGATCCTAGAGAATCTTTCAGATTCTCCTAGAATCTCTCCACTTGAGGCCTGGAGCGACGACAGTGTTGCTTAGCCCCGTAGTGCACTCTTTTTCCCATCTGAACATAGAGGTTGGATGCAGCAGTGCAACCAATCCTATTGTTGTGGCACTCCCAAAGCAAATTCACTTCACATACCACTTCTTACCTCACTTAAAAACCCATTAACACTCAAAAACTTATAATTATCATTTCAATCATCATTAGATAAACATTAATAATTAGTATATGGATTTTTGGGCAACGAATATTACACGGAGAATATTGCATTGGCTAATGAAATCACTCATAGCATCAAACATTAGTCCAACAACAAGCTTCTTGTCTCATGCTTGTTCTTAGGATAGCATTTGATTTGGTTACATGACAACCATTCTTTTTAGAATGGCTCAAAAGTGTATATGAAAACATTTCATCATTTTAATAAATGTTTGCATTAATTATGTCCCTTTTTCCATTTTTCTTAATGTGGAAATTTAAAAGCTACATCATTTTTGCCAATTATTAATTTCAAGGAAAGTTATCCCCTATCACCCTTTCTTTTCACTATCACTATGGATGTATTTTCTCATCTACATAAGAAATAAGTAAATGATATAAGGCTCTCCCCAATGTTGAATGCTAGCAACATTATTTCTCATCTTCTTTTTGTGGATGATCTTTTAGTCATGGAAAGTGTTGGCCTTCAAACTGAAAGAGCTCTTATAAAAATAATATCTACTTTGGCATTTATTTAAGGATTGAAAGTGAATGTTCATAAATTAGTTATTTGTTCCTCTAAATTTGCTAATATTGCTATTGGTTTTTTGGATATCATGTGTATATCTCATGGCTACCTTGCTAATTGAATACCTTGGTATACCTCCACTGTTGGTTCCCTTAAGCTAAGGACTACTCTCCTATCCTTGATAAGCTTTATGACTGGTTAGCTAGTTAAAATCTAAGTTCTTTATCTTTTGGCAAAAGATGTCACATTGACAAATCTGTTATTAATAACTACAACTCTTATTAGCTTAGATATGTTTCCGTGGAAAAAATACATTCTAAATAGCATTACCTCTCTCCCTCGAAGAATTTTATATGATTGCTAAGAAACTAGGAAGGTTCATATCTTCCCTTAGAATCACACTACTCTGCTTAAAGCTAAGGATGAAATCGATATTGACTTTGGCTTTGTTTGGGATGGCTTTCTTACTGCTTCTTAAAACAAATTTTTAGTACAAAAATTAAAATTTGGTACTAAAAATTTATTTTAAGAAGCAGTAAGAAAACTGTCCCAAACGAGGCATGTCTCTATTCTAAACTTACTTTGTAAGGCGAAGGTTATTTGGAGACTTCACAGTTTTCAACCCTTTCTATCTAGTTGATGTGCTAATACTAGTCGTCACTCATACTCTTCTCTTAATTAGCCCTAAAGTTTTTACTTGTGGAAAGAGCTTAAACTTATTGCTCTTAGATTTAAGCACAACTTAACGTTCTATATAATTGATAGCTTAGCTTCTCTCCTTATTTTGACCCATAGTGCAGAGGTAAATCACTATTTTACATTTTGGGTTATGCCTACTTCACCATCCTTAACATAGCAGCAAATGCTCACCTTGGTTCTATCATTTTGAATGTAACTTGGTTTTTGCCTCCTTTGATCTCACCTAATATTGACTACTATAATGCTTTTATCAATTTTGTTGTCTTGGATGGCAAAGATACCATCAATTGAGAGGGGGAAAGTTGTTTCAAGAATTTTCTGGTGAGAAAAGTTTCATTTCATAGTTTACTATATGTAAATTGCAAAAATCTGCTGATAATTTGGAAGCCCATGGGTTGAGCTTTCTTAAAAGTTGTATTTTGTGCAACAACTCCACAAAATCTCATGCTCATCCCTTCTGCAACTATTCAATCTTAATGTTGTTGATAAGAAACTAACTCCATTTTAGCAGTTTCTTCCTTATGCGATCTAATATGTATCAAGTCCTTTATGCTTCATCTAAAATCAACTTTAAAGAGATTAAAATGCTTTATTTACTCATTATCTCTATATTGATTTACTCTATTTGGTGAGAGAGAAATGCTAGAATGTTCAATGAAGAACATTCAACCCTTATGGGCATTGTGGCGAAAATAAGATCTTTGGCTGCTTATAAACTTTTTTTTTTTTTAACAAGGGTATCTATTCGCTGCCACCCTCTTAGGAGACGCTTGGCGGTGTTACTAATCCCTCGGCTAACATAGAAGAAGCACCCACCCCAAAAATCTCTTGGCCCGCACTTGATTGGGCGCACTTAAGAGGCGCTGCCACTCGAAGGGATTCGAGCACGCGTTGGGAAATACCCAATCGCACTCACCCACCAACCAATCTAAGCATCGGTGGGTCCTATAAACTTCAATGTTGGAAGTTAAAAAATACTTGGCCTGATGAAGCTAAGTATATTTTTGAGGGATGGAAAATGTTATTAGATTTTTCTGGAAGCATCTTTTAATGGTTTTCTCTCTTATTTGTGGTTCATTTTCTAACTTTTCTCATAGCTAGAATGGTTTTCATTTAGTTTTGTTTAGTTGTTGGGCTTTTTGTTGAATTGATAATTTATGTTGGCTAATTTATCTGTTCCTATAAGCTCATATTTGTTCCAAGATGAGTTAAGTTTCTTATCTATTTTATACTACCGCCTAGTAGATTATGCACAAAACAATAGGAAATTCAACCCATCTGTTAAGAAGATATACATGCCTAAAACTCTAAAAACTATTCTGTGCGATGCCGTCCGGAAACTAATCAGAATGCGACACATCACGCCTTCACTCAGTATCACGGCCCGGTACCGCTGACGTGACTCATTCTGATTGGTCTCCGAACGAAATTCCAAGTCTCTAGTCTCCACACAATAATTTCCAAGGTTTTCAGAACCGGACCGGACAACGAACCGGAGGAAGGAGGGGTTCACGGTTCGACCGGTTCGACCGGTTGAACCGGGGTCGAACCGGATGACGTAATAAATAATAATATTATTTAAAAAATAAAATAAAAATCAATTTGAAGCATAAACAAATAGCATATACTATAAGTGTCTCTTCAAATAAGTCAATAAAACATAAACAAATGCATAGCTTTATGTCATCACACCAAAATCATAATTTCTCATATCAATCAGCTTCACAATTTCAAACTATAAATACAAATAAATCTAGAAGTCGTTTCCTAGATTTGAAAGCTCAAAAGTTATATCCATCAATCCTTGTTCATCAAAAATTCTCCAAAGCATCAATATCTTCATTGATCAATTGTTTCATTTTCATTTCGAACATCTTCTAGGAATCATCATCTGCATATTAGAATATAAAATGTTAATATATTATATATCATATATATATATATATGTTCTATATTATATCATATATATACTATATATATATATATATAATATATATATATAGTAACATCTTTTTCAAATGATTAATTAAACTAATTATAACTTACTTTGAGGTTTTTATAGAACCTAGTATTTAAGTTCTTCAGCAACAGAATAACATCTTCTGTTATATTTCATTCTCTCATATTCTCCAGAATAAGCTCTAAACTGGTTAGTCATAGAACCCCCAAAAATCCACCATCTCTATCTTGTATAATCAAGGACATAGTTTCTTTTTTTTTTTGAAATCTAAATATAATTAAAAGATTATAAGATATACAATCATAGCAAAGAATGACATCTAAATATAATTAAAGTCAGTATTCATACCTATTCTCAAAATTGAGGTTGTGATGACAATACAAGATCATTTAAGCCTTTGATGTTCTAATGATTTCTTCTCTCGTATGACTGTCAATATACATCCAATTCTTCACATCCAGAAGAGGAACATGTTTGGCTGAGAATTCTTAACCCAACTATTTCTGCCAAATTTTGGGGCACTTGACCGACAATTCCCATTCATCTATAAAGGATAATATATTAGTTAATTAATATTTGATATGCATGATAGAATAAAGCATTCTCACATATTTGTTTCACTTTACCAGGGCTCATTTCTTGGCCATTTTAGCAGCAATTGGTTCCCAAAAGCTTTCTAAATTGTCACGGAAAAGCTACTTCATTCATGTTACTGTTGGTTTAGGACATATATCTTTTATTTCCAATCAGTTCAGTAAACCTTGCAGGTACAGTCCCGTACTTCAGGTTTTTTGCAAAAATTGTCCTTTATTATACTAAATGTGGATTCAAGAAAATATGCTGACAATGTATACCTGTTCTTAGCTGACTATGCCATCTCCTCTTTAAATACTTGTTGTAAGGTTTGTACAACCTTTTGACATTCCTAAACATTAACTTGATTTGCTCTCTCTTGCTCTGTACATTCCATCATAAAGAAATCCTATTGATGGTTTTTCATCCGAGATTCTCACAATTCTCATAATCGAATTAAGGCCCAGTCGCATTTGAACTTACCAACGTCTTCCAAATTTTTTATCGCAAAATAATATATGATGCTTTCTTGCCGCTTTGACTGTTTTGAATGCTTGTGATTCAAGATGCTTTCTTGTTATAAATGCCTGTAATGTTGCTTGTGTTTAGATCTGCTTTTTCAAAGTGATGAAGTTGTAGCAAATCGTTGCTGCCAAGGCCCTATAATGTCTTTCCAACCTCTTTTTTCTTAGCCAAAGCTAGAATAAAGCATGATTGTAGATGAAAATTGTAACTTTTGAAGCTCTCTTGGGCAATGATCTCGCCCTGAATGTGAGGCAATTTGTTCCAAAATCTTAAGATATGATTTAACAGTGTGCTGAACATGAAACCAATAGATGTGCCCAAATTCTTTCATTTGTAAGTAATTCACGGGCCTTTTTTAATTTTGGCAGGCATTATCTTATATAGCTGCACAACATTCTGTGGCCCACCTATTCTACGCAACTTCACCAATAGTGAACAAGTGTCTTCGCTCCTTTGTAATATCAGAAGCATCAACAGATTTCAGGAATGCTAAGCCCCTTGGACAATAAACAAGAAAATTAATCAAAGTTCTATTTCTGTTATCTGTCCAACCATCTGCCATGAGTGTGCAACCTATTTCTTTCCAAGATCTTCTATATGAATCTATCAGCAACCGACATTCCTCTTTGCAATCTCGCAGAAGATTAACTCTCAATTTGTGATAGGATGGCAACTTATAACCAGGTCCAATTGCAGCTATAGCATCAATTGCCTTCTGCGCAAAAGGAGAGTTTATGGCATTGAAGGGGATGCAACTATCGTAAAACCATCTTCCAACTGCTAAATCAGCACGATATATGGCTTCTTTGGAAGCCATTACACTTTTCAATGAGGGTTGAGAACCTGGTTTAGTTCTTGGTGCAAAAAAGTTATCTATTTCATCTTTCTTTCTCTTCCCTTTATCAAGTCCTTCATGGTGTGCATCAGATGTTTGTGACTTTGGAAGTGATGAAGACCCCCTTTCATCATCTATATGTTCATCAACAAACAATGTTGTGTTCTGCTCTAATTCCTCCTGGGTTTGTGCTTTTTTCTTGCCTATTTCTTTTAAATTTTCTATCATCTGGTGACGAATGTCATGTGGGACTTTTTTGCACGAAGATATGTTACCTCTTACTCCTGCTAGATGCTGCTTTAGCCTATTAATTCCTCCACCTTTATATATAATCCCACAATGTAGGCATCTATATTGTTTTTTATCATCTGCACCTTTAGTTTCACTACAATGACTCCAAGCAATATCAATCTTTTCACGCACACCATGAGACGAAACTGTTGGTAGATCCATTTTGTAATCAATGCTAAGGTATGTGGAGAACGACAAAAAACACCAATCAGAACATAAACACAATTTTAATAAACAATCATAAATCATAAAATGTTAAAGTCTATTAAAGGCATACATAAATACTTAAGCACTTCTCATGCCACATACTGCAATTGCACAACAGATTCAAGATGTACACCAATGCTCAAGTGATCTATTGTTTTCTTATAACGAGGAAACTTGTAATAAAAGAACTCTGTTTTGTCGGGAAAGTTGTGAAAGTAGCAGTCTATTTCATGATAGTAGATGATGCTTAACATGTTTCATTTTGAAACATTGTCAAAGGTATGTTAATAATTTGAGATGTCAAAAATTTATGGAGACTCAGATATAAGCCAAGTATAAACATCGTATTTTTCTATTTTTTCCAAAAGTTTGCAGTAGTTTTGGTTTATCTTTGATAATTTGGATATGATGGAAAAGATTTTGGCATCATCTTGACAAAAAGGAAGACTTTGCTTCCATTTTAGATATGGAATGTGAAATATATGTTTTTTTTTTTAATATTCTTTTATAATGAAAAGAGGAAAGGGTAGAATATCCAGTTGGATCCAATGGAATTATAACAAATTTTGGTATAAACAAGAGAAGCGTGATCATCTTTGTTTGAGTGGGTTTTGGTACGAGTGATGGAATATTAGCTGAAAATTTCAACTTAGTTTAGTTTCCATTTATAGATTCAAAACATTTTGTGGAAAGGAAACATTGAAAATCAAAAAAAAAAAAAAAACAAAGATTTTGGTGGAAAGGAAACATTGAAACATAAACACACAACTGCAATTTCAATTTCCACTATTAAACAAGAAAATTCATCAAGATTCACACCCTACCGTCGGCTGCAAATAAGAGCGCGTGAAAATTAAAAAACTCACGGTGGGTAGGAGAGGAGCACTTGACCAAGAGAAGGAAGCCTTCAGTTCGATCGGCTCCGTCGCTCCGGCAAAACAACCTCCCGTCCGTGAGGAGTCGCGGTTCTCGCCTTCTCGGCGTCTCGCTCCGCCTGGACGAAGTGAAGAATCGCGAAATGAAGCGAGGAATAGGGTTTCACGGTAGTAATTTTGTATTTGTTTTTTTACCGATCTTTCCCTCAGCCTTTGGATTAAATCGGACGGCTAATACAAGGTTTTATTTGAACCGGCCGGTTTTTTATAACACGTCCGGTTTTCCGGTTCGGCGGTCGAACCGCCGGTTCGACCGGTTCAATCCCGGTTCTTTGCAGAAACGGTTCTTAAGCAACCCGTAACCGGCCGGCCGGCCGGTTCAGGGTTCAACCGGTTGAACCGGCCGGTCCGGTCCGGTTTTCAAAACCTTGATAATTTCTCCTAAAACTCAATGATTCGTATGCAGGAAATTCAACCCACTCAAAGCGCATGCAATTTATTTCAATTTTCGAACTACTGAAATTGGATCCACAAGTTCTTAAGAAAATCACATTTGTTTTTTATGGATCATTCCTAGCCAATGAAAACAAATTGCACGACTGAAATTTCATTAACTGCACAATGAAATTAGCACGATAATACCTTTCATTCATCAAAAGTAGAACTCAGCAGAATCAACCAACAAAGATGTAGACAACCACTCTCTCAAGATCATGATGAAAGGTAATCGAAAATGCTCCCCACTTGTCCTTAAGCACTGAAATCTACTTTTCTTTTTAGTCTAAAGAAGTGGCCTCCTCGACGACCCAAGTCCAGCGCTTATAATTACCCATTAATCTCGCCACCACAGTTAACCAAATTGATATCTAAACTAACTATGGCTTCCACCTTCGTCTTCTTCCTGCTATCTACCCTTTCCTTAGCTTTCTCCCCACCAGAAGCCGAAGCTCAGAGCCTCCCACCCATAGTAAACGGTCTCTCCTTCACCTTCTACAAGTCGACATGCCCAAAACTGGAGTCTATTGTTCGCAAATTCCTTAAGGAACAATTTGAGAAGGATATCGGGCTAGCCGCCGGGCTTCTTCGTGTCCACTTCCATGACTGCTTCGTGCAGGGTTGCGACGGGTCAGTGCTGCTTGACGGGTCGGCGAGCGGGCCGAGCGAGAAGGACGCGCCGCCGAATTTGACGCTGAGGCCGGAGGCTTTTAAGGCCATCAATGAACTCCGCGTTCTGATCGATAACGCCTGCGGTCGCGTGGTGTCTTGCGCTGACGTCGTTGCTCTTGCTGCCCGCGACTCTGTATTCTTGGTATCTGCTTCGTGCTTAACCTCAATGCTCTTTGCTTGCTTGCTTTTAAATAGAGATTATATATCTATATATAATATATAACATAAAAAAATATTTTTATTTCTCTCTTTTTTATAATCTTTAGGTAGTGCCATGTATACAAATAATAATAATTAGTTTGAGTTAGGATAAAAAATATTTTTCAAATAGATAATATGACTAAGAAAATGTCAAATTTTTTAATTTATTTTAAGTGTGAAAATAGAATTATTGTTTTTGAAGGAAGAAAAAATAGATAAAAATTTTAATGTATTTGAAATCAACATAGGTTTCTAGTTACAAATCTTCAAATGATGAATTTAATTAATTATTTTTTTTAAATATGATCATTTTCCAAAATAATCAAATGTTGCGGTCAGTATGACATCCATTGAACTTTTATCTCATTACTATCAACTAGCAAAATGACTCGAATATTATTTAAAGAAGGGATAAACATAGTGTATTGTGGTTCATGAGATCCTAGTGCATTTAATATTTCTATAGAATATTATTGAGTTGTCATGGGTAATGTGTTTGTTAGTTTTGTTTGCGGAGATAGTTAGAGACAATTGACACATGTCTAGATCAAATAAAGGAATGATGAGGGATCACAGTCAGTCGACTATGGTCAGAGGGATCACAGTTGGACGATAGTGATCGGATGGACCATAATTGGAGGGCGATAAAGACTAGAAGAATTATAGTTGATGGGAGACAATGGTTGGAGGGATCGTAGTCGATTGGTGACATAAGTCGAATGGATCATAGTTTCGATACTATGATTGAATGATCGTAGTCAATCGATGGTGGTCTGAGGATTGCAGTTGGGTGACATTGGTCCGAGGATTGTAGTCAGGGGCAACGGTGGCTCGAGTATTGTAGTCGACATGCGACAGTGGTCCGAGGACCATAGTCGGGGGACGGTGATCCGAGGACCGTAGTCGGACAAAGGTAATCTGATGACCATAATCAGATGATGGTGGTCCGAAGGTAGTGGTTTTCAGTGGTGAAAGTTTGATGGTTACTTTAAGTAGACAAAAGTTTGGCGACAACGGTACTACTGAGGTCCGATAGCTACGATCAGGAAGAGGAGGTTCGACGGTGACAGTGGGTCAATGAAAGTTTTGATGGAGGCCATGTTGAGATCTAGAGGTGGTGGCTGGGAGGAGGTCTGACGATTACGGTTGGGCGACAAGAGTTCATTAGTCGTGGTGCTTTGGAGGAGCTCTAGGATTATTCAAGCCTCAGTGCTCTCGACGTAGGTGTCGACGTCAACATTTGGGTGGCTGTCAACTAGTGAAAGTGCGGCGGTGGCTTTCAATAGGCAAAAGTTTAGTGATGGCGGTAGGGCCAAGGTCCAACATTGACAGCCATGTAGGGATGATGGTGTGTCAATGAAAGTTTCGACGATGGTCATGTAGTGATCCGACGGTGGTGGTTGGAGGTCCAACAACGACGGCCGGTTGGGCAACGAGGGTTCATCAATGGTGTTGCTTTAGGTGAGCTATGAGATTTTTCTAGCCTTAAAGCTCTCTTGAATCTCTAGCCCAGCATCCAAGCTCCCCCACCTTTATGTGAAGAGTAAGAATTTATTTATAGATTTTTGGGAGAAGCGTGACTCATAAATATGAAAAATTCTAGACCAAATATGATGCATTACATTGGAAAATTCTAGCATATATTGCCATCAAGTATAGAGAGTTTTTCAGCATTTAAGTGTCTTAATTATGTCATAATTAAGCAATCGTTGGATTCATCTCGTCAAGCTCTTCGATTTGTTTATAAGCATGATATATTTATATATCATTTGGTCATCTCATTAACATTATGAAGCTTTCAAATATGCTTCAAGCCTTTGATTTAAACTCATTTAGGCTCGGATTGGACGAATTTTGGTGTCGTTGTGTTTGTCTTATCGAGACAATCAGTTTGACTATGAGGGCATCTCCAACCGAACGTAAACAAGCTTTTGTAGTCGTCGCGAGCTCCAACTGAACGCCATATTAAGCGGCTTTTTGCGAGAGGTGAACAATGCGATGCCAATATTGGCGTCACACTATTCACAAATGTCATTTTTCTCATTTGCAGAAAGAATATAATCGGTATATTCTTTTTCGATGTTATGAAATTGAGTTTGGTTGGAAATAAATTACTATATTTTAGAGTGGTACTGCATTTTGGAGTATAAATTGTGTTTTCCAGTTAGAGATGGTCTAAGTTTTCTGAAATCAGAGTCCTAACGATCCTGAATTTAATCTTAGAAGTTTTTTATTTGAACATGCCTTAGGGGCTGTTTGGTATCGGATTTACAGCGAGATTTAAGTCGGATTTACGCTAAATCCAGCCAAACAGTTTTTGTGCGCGCGTTAAATCCTGGGATTCAGTAAATCCCGGATTTACGGATTTACAGCTTAAATCCGGGATTTAGTAAATCCGAGGGATAGCCGGATTTAGTAAATCCGAGCGGGATTTATCCGAAGAAGCGCGCGAAAGGAGAAAGTTACCTTCACAGCCAGCGATCTCCCGTTCTTGCTTCTGATCAAAATGTCGTAACTTCCGATCCGGATTGAAGTCGTCGCAGGAGCGAAGTCGAACAGCCACGAAGGACTCGAAGAAGCGACGCCTGCAATCTCTATACCTCCTGCAAAAGCAACGGAGCCGAACAACAACGACGGAAAGACAAGATGAAAGGCAAACCCTTGACGCCTCTAAGTTATTATTGATTAACTTAATTAATATAATTTACATTATTAATACTCAAGTAAATTAATTAAATAGTTAATTGTAATTTAGTGCATAAATTAAATAAATTAATTAAAATTATTAACAATTAAATAAATTAATTAAATAATTAATTATATAATTTAACTTAATTGCATAATTAATAATTAAATATTAATACAATTATCTTAATTAATATAACTTAAAATATATATTATTAAATATATAATCAATAGTGTAAATAATAATTAACGAATAATTTGTATTTAACATGTTATTACTTTTTTATTAATTATGACTAGAAAGTCATCGCAGGAGCAAAGTCGAACAACCACGAAGGAGTCGCAGAAGCGACGGGTGCAATCTATACATCTGCAAAGCAACGAAGCCGAAGAGCAACGACGAAAAGAGAAGATGAAAGGAAAACCATAGAAGCATCTAAAAGTTATTATTGATTAACTTAATTATTATAATTTAAATTATTAATATTTAAGTAAATTAATTTAATAATAAATTGTATAATTAGTGCATAAATTAATTATCTAATTTAACTTAATTGTATAATTAGTAATTAAATATTAATATAATTAGATTAATTAATATAATTTAATATATCTATTATTAAATATATAATTAATTGTGTAAATAATAATTAATAAGTAATTTGTACTTAACATATTATTAAATTTATAACACATTATATTTTTTATTTTTAATTATAAATTTATTTTTAAGTTATAATTATATTTTTCACATTTAAATCCCTAACTGCTATAAATCCTGAAATATGTTATCAAACAGTTTCTCAGGATTTAACAGAATTTAACATTTGGCATATCAAACAGTTTTCAAGATTTAACACATTTCGGATTTACTAAATCCGGATTTAAAGGATTTACTAAATCCCACTAAAGTTAAATCCCACTTGTTGCCAAACAGCCCCTTAGAGATTTATGTCTGATCAAGATGATTTTTGACGACGTATTAATTTGTATTCAATATAGTGCCAACTTTAATTCTTATATATAAATAAATGATCAAGTATCAAATATGGGCGCTTAAATTTTGATACGTAACTTTTGTTACATTAAAGTTACATTCATATATTATTTTGATGCAAACATTAAGCCAATATGTTTTTTTGTCTTCCGTTGAGTTTTGATGGATTTTGATAGAATTTCATTTTGATTGAATATATTTAGATAGTTCTAACACGTGTCAGCATGTGGGTTGACATAGTTTTGACACGAACATCCGCTAATAACTCATTTTGATGGTGGGTTGACGTAGCTGATTAATTTATTATGAATAATTATTTTTTATTACACGTTATATATTACAATAATATAGATAAACATATAAATGAACATTACAAATATTAATTATGCTAACCTAATAATTATTAATTTAATTTGAGGCGAAAGTGTTAAACTATATCACCTTCACTTTTCAAATTTTTTTTTTTAATTACTTTATATTTCCAACAAAATTATTTAGATTTTATTAGGAATTTTTTTAATTGCTTCTTAAAAAATTAGTTAAAATTTTTAATTTTTATTAAAATATTATTTTAAAACATAGTAAAAAAAACCATCTTAAATTTTCTTATTACACTCTAAATTAATTTTTTAGTATAAATTTTTTTTTAAAACAATACATTTTTCATTTTTGTGCTGAAAATTTATAGAAATTTTTTACTAAAAAATTTCTTTAGAGTAAATAAGACAGCTATCTCATAAAAGAGCTTTAATGAGGAAAAAAAAGTTTGTTTTTTATTAATATTTTCTGTACTAACGAACCTAGCCCCTCCCCTCTGCAGTCTGGCGGTCCCCAATACAGAATCCCTCTCGGCCGCCGCGACGGCCGCCGCTTCGCCACACGCAACGCCACCCTCGCCAGCCTCCCAGCTCCAACCTTCAACATCTCCACCATTCTCTCCATCCTCTCTCGCATCAACCTCGACGCCGCCGATCTCGTCGCCCTCTCCGGAGGCCACACCATCGGCCGCAGTCACTGCTCCTCCTTCTCTAACCGGATCTTTCCCTCGCGCGACCCCACCATGAACCGGGCCTTCTTCGACCATCTCCGATTCACCTGCCCGACCGCCAGTTCCACCAACACCACCCCGCTCGACTTCCGTAGCCCTAACGCATTCGACAATAAGTACTATGTTGATCTTGTGAACAGAGAGGGTCTGTTCACTTCAGATGAAGATCTTTTCATGAACTCGAAAATTAAGTCGATTGTGCAGTCTTTTGCGGTGAATCAAACGCTTTTCTTTGAGAAATTTGTGTTTTCGATGGTGAAGATGGGGCAGCTCGGGGTCCTGACTGGTGGGAAAGGGGAGATCAGGGCTAATTGTTCGGCGAGGAATGATGACAAGATCGCTATATGGCGAGCGATGGAGAAGGAAGGAGATAAGGCTGTCTATTAAGAGTGGTGGGATTTTAATATTTTGTTAAAGAAGTCTGCCTATGTATTAACCTTCAAAATTCTTAAGTGCTACTAGATGTTTGGTCAAGGTTTGGTTAGGCTTAACATGTGGCTTGCATATTGAAAACATAATAAGTTAGTTTTAAATGATTAAATCTTCTACCTAAAGTTGTCCTTTATATTGATTTAGGTATTAACTTTACTCGAGTAAGTTCCAAGTAGGTGATCATGAACTTCAAATATATATACATATTTACACAATTTTACGTGCATAGTGCGCAATGTTTAATAGATGTATGTAGGATTGCATTGCACTCTTATTTCCTTTTTATATGTTTTCCTTAAAGTATAATGTACTTAGAATGTAATTAGGTTTTCAATGTAAATGTGAAAGTCAAATGTCAAATGTAAAGAATCTAGAATGTATTTAGATCGAGTTGTACAAATAGTTGTAAAAGTTGAAAGGTAAACAATATACATTGGGCTCTAAAAGAAATTATTTTATCTTCCTTTGAGAAACTGTCTCTTGGAATTCTATAGGAGACATAGAGCCAAAAGACAATAAGCAAATGCATTTGAACCTATATTCATAGGTGTAGAAATCTAAAATTGTTGTGGTGAAGTTTTGACCTTCTTACTTTTCAGCAGACCCCAATTTATACCTTTTTTTGTAATAAATAAATAAAATATTTGTTTCTTACACACTTCTCTTTCATACTACTTCATATTACATATATTACATTCATATGGGTGGTAGATTTGTATTAAAAAGCAACCTTATTCATAGATTTCTTTCGGTGTACATGTTTCAAACTTTGTGTTAGCTAAAAATTAAACTTAGGGTTCAGGGTGTTTGTGCGTTAAAATTGAATTAATTAAATGTGTTTGATCAAATATATATTACTAAACTCTGATTATAAATTTGAACTAAAATCCTTAATTCTGATGTTAAAAATGGCTATCTTACCTGCATGCATTAGACCTAGAAATCATTGTTTTAAAATTGTTTGTTTAGATGATTAGCTGATAGCAAACTCCAAGCGAACATAATTTCAGATGAATTCACACCCGTGAAAATTTCTTTCGGGAGGATTATCTCGATCTACTAATGAAAGTTATAAACTATTAAAATTTTCAAAATATTTGATTGAAAATTTTAAATCTTAAATCATATATCTAAAATAAGTCTATTCTCCACTTTAATTGAAAGTGTTTTCTTCATAGATGTAATTAACTAATTATGCTTGACTCTACAGGAGCCCAAGAACTCAAATTAAAATAGGCCTTATTTTAGTTCGCTAGAATAGGAAAAAAATCTTTTGGATGCAGACTAAAGCATATCCTTAGTTAATTTCATTTCAAAATTATAGGTGAATATTTCTTTTATTATTCGGGATGAATTTTATATTCTTTATGCTATGTTTAATTATGAAAATAAATTTTGTTTCTCTTTTCAAGCGATAGTGAAGCATTAGTCTATCTCTCGAGATAGCATAATATTAATTATATGGATTTGATTAAATAAACACAAATCAAATTCAGTGGCACATTTATTTGTCCATAGCGTGTATGCTAGTTCTGTTTATATGTTGATGAATATTGTCAGCTATGTGGTTGGTGTATTCCCTAAGTAGTTTAGGTTGCTTATTTTTAGAAAGTTGTTCAACCATTTTAAACTCTTTCTCAAATTTTTTTAAGTTTTCTATTTTTTTCTTAAAGTTTTTTTTTTTTTTTTTTCAATTTCAGTGTCAAAGAATAATTTTACTAGTTGTTTAATACTATGCATGCAATAGTAAGCAACACAATAGAAATAATAAAACACTGGGCAGTAATAGGGAAGTGGATATCAAAGCAAGTAAAAAATTAAGTAGGTAAAAATTAAAAAGAAAAAAAAACTAGATTAAATTAAAAGTTTGTTCAACAATATAAAATGCAAAGCAGAATAATAATTTCTCTAGTTGTGTTCCTGAGCAACGACATCAAAAACTTGATAGGACACTATTGCAACTATTATTTAGCTTATGCAAATACAGAGTTTCATGCTTTGGCTTACACGCACTACTCATATTCTAATGTAAGTTTTATTTTAATGTAAGTGTATGTATCATATCAAGTAATGTAATGATAAAAAAAACTATCGATCTCATAAGAAAACACTAGAACTATATGGTATTACTTTACTATTGGCTATTGAATTGATGTTTTTATCTAGCTGAGTGAAAGGTGATGCAGGTTAAAAGTAAAGCGCTTCAAATTACAAAAAGAAAGTTCACTAATTTTAGAAATTATGAACATATGATTTAATTTCAAAATAACAAGATTGCTTTATAGAGGTTTATATCCTATTATTATAATGGATCATATCAAGTATATTCCTCGTATTTGTCGAGTTCATTGGAGCAAAAGCTAGGATCATTATAAGCCACAATTCCTTTATCTCTACAAGGCCCCATAATTTTAACCACCATATGTCTATATTATGGCCGTATTATGTTTTAAGTTCCCTAATCATTCTTACATTCTTCTGTCAAGGCTCTAGATCACACTAAGTTTTTAATTTATGTATGATTTATATATAAATCAATTGAACCACAGAGAAATTAAAAATAAGATGGGTATTTTAAAAATAAAACATACTCTAAGAAATGCATGCTTTTCAAATCATCATAGATTCAGAGAATTTGATTAGCTACATATGAAGTTGTTACACATAACAAATATAACAAACATCACAAACATTTTATTAAACTGAATGATTAATAAGTACAAACTGCAGCACACAAATAAAATAAAGTTTAGAAGTGGTCCGAAAGTATAACTATAATACCTAGTTCACTTGCTTGCTTTGCTCCACTCTAACACATGACTTTACGTAAAAGAGCAAAAGCTACACTCTCCCTAAGATAGCCCTCATACTCACACAAAAACTCACAAAAAGACTCCACAATGTGCCTCCCCCTTATAAGAATTATGCTACTATTTATAATTTTGCAAATTAGATAAACAAACATTACAGTGCTAGCTTGGTGGCGCTACAGTGCTGCTGAATTGATTCATCGATTCAACAATAATGGTTTCGATTCACCGATCCAATTAACTCCCTTTGCGCCACTGTGCGATTTGGCGTTGACTGGATAACGCTTTGACGTTGAGCTTTCCAACAATTTTTTTATAATCTCTTCGATGCAATGTTGAAGGTGTGGTGCTGCAGTGCTGAAATGAGTTCTAGCACTGTGGCACTACATTGGTGGCTCTACATTGTTGGTATAATTTTCATGATTTTTCACTATTTTTTGCCACCATATACAAGGATTGAAAGCATAAATAATATAATAAATGTAATATGGAATGAACAATTTTTATCTCATCACAGTCCTAAACAGAGCAGAACTAGAGACCTCAACTACTTAATTGATTTTTTTCCCTTTCCTCAACCTGAAACAGAGTGCATAATAGGTTAAAGCCAACTCAACTCAGCAAGTCACAGCCACTGATATAAACTTTTAAACATTTCACATATTATGCATTTAATTGAGTTTTAAAATTAGTTAATAACAATTCATTGTGCTAAACCGAATAATGGATTCGATTATCAAATAGCTACATAACAATGTAGGAAAAGTAAATAAATAAATATTTCATATATCAAAGCATAAAATAATAAAATTATGTAAGGTCTTATATCTCCCATTAGAAATAAATATTAGAATTTAAGCTCTCATGACTCCATATGCTAGCATATTAGAATGCATGTCTTATGTCTCTAAAATGCTTAGCATATCAAATATTAAAAAAATTAAACCCTTATATATCTCGTTTCATTTAACATATCAGAACTTCCTCCAATCTCAGATATCCTTAGAACCAAACATTTCAAATCGACAAGCACACATATTATTGAAATTCAGTAAATACATTATAAATAAATCAACTTGTAGAACTTTACAATCAGTGATACAGATAATCTACGAGCATAAATTCAATATTTTTTAAATTCATCAGATTATCAAGGATTGTGCAGAGTGTCATTTTAAAACTTTTAATGTACTACGGCCTTATTTTTTTAGATCAAAATTATTTTCTAATTTACTAAAAAGGTACATTTTTCAATTTTTCTCTTAAAAGTTTTCCATAAAAAAATATAAATGTCCATAATTGTTATATCTATAATATACAGAAAGTTATACGGATGGAGTTTTATTGGTACAAAGTTGTTCTTATTTTTATTCAATAAAATTATAAATTAAATAAAAAAAATATCAAAGTTTTTTGTATTTTTGAAAAATGAGATAGGTAGAATATAACATACCTTAATCCAGACAATTTCTTGATCTAGGGCGAAAATAAAAAAAATTGACCGGAGTCTCCAAAAAACCAACTTTCTCTCACTAGAAATCTCATTTTCTCTCTCTTTATTCAGTTGAGGTGGGGGGGGGGTAATAAAATTTGATGAAGTGTTATGGAATTTAAAATGGGTTATTTGATGAAGTGTTATGGATTCTTGCTATATTTATGAGACATGTAACTCTCAAAATTTATAAATAAGTCACTGCTTTCAACATGAAAGGGATTTTTGACCTTGGCTTGAGGTTCACAAGAGCTTAGAGGCATCAAGACTCACATAGCTCCATCAAAACACCACCATCCAACATTTGTTATTAGACTACCGCCAATGGACCGCCACCAATAGATCACCTACACCATACCACAAATGATCGACCACTACTATCAAATCAGACCATTGAATTCTAACTATTAATACCAAATCACTTGTGTTGGACCACCACAATTGGACCTCCACCATCTGACCATTATCTCCTAAATGCAGTTCTCTGATAACAATTACCAAATTATGATCGTCTTACCACCATTGTCCAATTATGATCCTTCAAGCAACATTATCTGACTACAATCCTTTGACCACCATCATTGACTACAATTCTATGACCACGATTGCTCTGCTATGATAATCCATCCACCAACACTTGACTACAATTCTCAAACCATAGTTGCTCGAGTACGATCCTCTAACAACCGTCATTCGATTATCATCTTTCGACCATCATGACTCGATTACAATCATTCAACAAATATCCTCTAACAATGGTCCCCCAACTATCATCGCCTAATATGATCTATTGACAATCTTTGTCAGGTTACTATCTTCTAGCCATCGATGCGCGACTACATTCTCTTGACCATAGTTTATTGATTACATTAATGCATGGTAAGTTTATCATTTATTATTGCTGATAGCATTGTTACGCATCATCACCTATAAGATCAATGCATGTCGTTGAAATCAACTCTAATCCCTAACATTAATACTAATTTTTATGCTAGACTTATTGATCTTCTATGCAAATAACAAACGATCTCTTGAAGACAAATACCAGCCACATGGCTCTTCTAACTTCTATCACAAAATCCGTTCTACATAATTTATGTCTATTATATTGTATCATTGCTTTTCCGTGACTTTTCTCTTTTTTGTTTTTTTTTTTAATGTAAAAACTCTCACGTCTTTTGCAATTCTTCTTTTTATCTATGAATGTAGAATATTCATATGATATTATGATATTAAGTATTTTCTTTCTACCATCGTTAGTACTTTAAAATACAATAATTTTTATGAAATTTATTTATTTGCACCTTATTTTTAAAAAATATATATATATATGATGCATAATTTTATAGTTATTACGCAAAATATATTGATCAACAACAACAATAACATCAAACCTTTATCTCACTATGTAATGTCGGCTATATAAATCCTTTTTCTCCACTGAGTCGATAAAATATATAAATAACTTAATTTTTTTTAAAACATTTAAATCAATTAAGATAAATTCATGCACACATCATATATATATATATATTATTTTAATTTATAATCAAAGCTCGCCAATATAATTTGTTGTTATAAGCCAAAATTAATTTGAAATGAATTTTTCAAAAGCATCGGGCAGCGGCTCCACCAATCCAAATGCGAAAATGCGAAAGCCGAAAAATAAATAAAATGTTTTAACGCGAAAAATTCGGCAAAAATTTTGCCCAAAGAAAAAAGTCCTCGAGCAGCTAAATACCTAGAAGTGAACAGCAAGCGATTCCAGGCTTCCAGCTAAGACCCAGGGGTATATTGGACTTTCGATCCCTGCATATTAAACGAGGAAAAAATCGTGGGAAGCTGTTCCCCGCTTCTTTTTACAATTATGTGCCGATAATGACCCTGCAATTTCATTTATTTCCCTAATGCTATATCCTTTACAATGACCGCCCTCTATTGAATTCAAGGTGGGGGATCGAAAAGAGAAAGAGGGGAAAAGAATGCGTTCTTCCTGTTTCTCTTAGGTCCCGTGGCAGAAAATTCTGACTTTTTTGTCTTCTGGACCTTCTTCTATCTCTATTTCTTTGGTGAGCGGATTAAGATGCAAGAGTTTGAGGTCCGCGTTCTGGATTTTCTTCTTGTTTATTAGTACGGAAGATCATCGTCTTCCATGGCAAAGCGAGTTTATCAAGTTTGGAAAGGGAGCAATGTAAGAGTTTAACGTCTTTTCTTTTATGGAATTGCTTTTATTTTTGGATATTGCCGAAACGAGGAACTTGGAAAGGTTTCAGCAGTAGTTATTTAAGGGCTTTGCTATTTAAAGCTGGGCGTGCCAGAAATTTGGAGATCTTGTTAGGTGTTTCCCCTTTGGGCTTTTTTTGTGTTTTATGATTCGGTTGTGGTGCGGGATTTTGGTTCAATTTGGAACAATATTAGCTATTTTTGGCGGACTTGTCTGACGCCTGAAAGCAACTTGGTTTTTGTCCATGATGGCGTATCTAGTGAGTGCTTTGGTGATTGGGGTGATGGTACACCTTGCTATTTCATTGTTTTGCTACGTCAGGTTGTATTTTTGCTTGATTATCAAGTTTTTGTTTTACTAGCTAGATCTTGATTTCGACACTTCCATTAGGTATTTGGACATTTTACTGTACTTAGCAGTTAGCATCATCACTCCTCTATGCGAAAATTGGTTTTGATTGTTTGTGCTATCTATGCATGGATATGTTTATGCAGGCTAAATGAGCCGGACATTCCATCAAAAATGTTGTTTTTGGTTCTAATATATTAGTATTGTATACGTCTGAGTTAGAAAGGCTTCTTCACCAGCTCTCCATACTGCATTTCACTACTAGATAATGTTGCCTGTGTATTATCCTAGAAAAATTGCCACTCTTACTCAATGCTATAAAGTGTTAATTTGGCTCATTGAATCTGATTTGACCTCAGTAGATTTTCCTTTGTAGTAGGTCTGATTGAGTTTTAGCAGCTAATGGGTATGGCTTTTCATATTTGAGAAGTTGAAAAGCTGTCCTCAGAAAAATTGTGGGGAAAAGCTATTGATTTTTTTTAGCTCAACTGTTTTGCTTGTTTTGATATAACGTTTTATATGTGGTATAAAAAAGATGAAAGAAGTTGCTATATTGCCAAATGTTGTCGGCGATGGATAATCTTTAATACAATGGATGATGAGGAGAGGAGCCCGGAGGTGTGGGAGGTCGTGCATTTCCCAAGGTGAGGGGTGATGAGTTGAAGAGGCCAAGAGGGTTTCCATGATCACAGTCTACAGGGCATTCAATGGCGCATTAGTTGGAGGGTTTGGATTAGCACACAGTGAGACTACTATAGAATGTGCGGAATGAGATCATTGCAATTGAAATGTTGCAACCGGCGGAGAGCTTCTAGTTGATGGTGCGACTGTTGTTGTTGTTGTTGTTATTTTTTGAGAAGTTAGATGGAAAACCATTATTGAAACAATTATGATGAAAGCTATTATTTTTTATTTGGAAGATCTGCGGTTGACTTGCTTTTTGTAACTCAATTGCTTCACTTGTTTTGATATAGCATTTATTTGTGCAATAAAAATAGATGAAAGAAGCCACGGTATTGCCAAGTGCTGCTAGCTATGAATATTTGGTAATCTCGGTGGATGATGAGGGGAAGAACTTGGACATGAAGGAGGTTGCATAGATCACCAGCATAGTTTGGGGAGTGTGCTGATGAGACCAAGGAAGCTTTCATGACCTTATTTGAAAAAAAAACATTTGATAATGCACTAGGGGAAGGGTTTGGATTATTACATGGTGTGGCTATTGCAAAACGTGTGGAAGGAGATCATCACCATTGGCATGCTGCAACGGGCAAGGAACTTTGCGATGATGGGTGGGGGCTAGGGAAGCTTGAGGACAGTTACAAGGGGAAATGGGGAAGGAAGGAATTGTTGCTATAGGAGTATACGCCTAGGGTGGACAGATCAATGGCCATTGTTCTTTGTGTGGTCTCTGTAGGTGAACATTTTGTCATTCTTTGAGTGGTTACTTGGCCCATCTTTTTGCACAACTTCTATTTATGCGACCTTTGCTGTACTCCTTTTTACTAATCCTTAATATTAATTTTTTCTGACTATCTTATTGTTGCATCTTTATCATTTTTTGTACATGTTCAAATCAAAGTTTATTATCTACTACCTTATATTCAATAGATGCTACTTCAACCAACATTTTAATATAATCATCTTTTAATCTATATTTTATAGTTTTCCCTCTCATTTATTTTAATATCATCATTTTTATCACCCCTCAACTTGGCTATCTATCCAACACCCATAAATCGGGTCTATAAAACATAGTTAGCCTAATCATAATTTTTATGATTTATCTTTAAGTCTGTCTCATGTCACATAATGCTATTATGGTATTGTACCTTTTTAACAACTAACATTAATTTTAGAGGTCACATTATTATTCTTTGGTAGAATAGATCGTATTTATTTAAATCTATAACACATAGGTATTACTTATCTTTAAGGACTGATAATTGTTAATTATCACTCTTACTAAAGTTTTCTACTTTTCTATTATATACTCAATCTATTCTACTAACCTTGATGTTGTAATATCATTTTTCCAAACAAAGCTTATATTATTCGTAAATATTTGTCCATAACGTGAATTCTATCATCTATATTGAAAGTTAAACTTATATAGCAAGAGGAAATTGTTGAAAATATGCAAGTAATCTAATAATATAGAATGCATAGTAGTATTATATTTTTGATCTTTTGCTAATCTCAATAGTGATTTTGGCATGAATCTTTAATATTTTCTCAAATTGTTTAGATTTCTTACGATTTGATAGGATGTCAATATTATCTAGGGTTCTTGTTCCACAGGATGAAAAGCTTGAATTTTATTAAGCAATCTACTCCCTATTTATAGATCTATACAAGGTATATCAATAAGGAAACAAATAACTCTTATAATAATATGAATATACTTATTCCTAAATCAATGGGAGGAATTAATGCAATCCTTGTAGTCCTCCCACGGATTACTGTTCACAGCCGTGGATGTCTTCGGGATCGTAAGGTTGAGATTTAACAATTATCTAGGGTTCTTGTTCCATAGGATTATTGCTACATGCTCCTTGATACCCTGGGAGATATTAAACATTCATTTTTCTGGAAGGATGGACCTTTGGAAATAAAAGCCTAGTTTGGTACGATGTAAATTTGCATAAATTATTTAGGATAAAGTTCTTTCCTTTTGTGATCAATTGAAACAATTGAAGTTTTAGGCGAATTATTGCCATGAATGATGCCAAAATGATTTTATGAACATTGATATCAGAAGTGCACTTGTACTTGTATTTTGTTCTCTAAATATAAATGGAGGACAAAGGTGATTGAATGTCACAACCCAGTTTGGAAGCTTAGAGTACTGAGGTGTTAACAAATGATTGATTATAGATCTAAAATTTCTGAAAGGTGTGTTCCTTAGCCAATTTTGGAAGGAGTTCTTTCGTTTGCAGGGTCAGTCTTGAAGAGAAACACAACATATCATTTCCATACAGATGTCCAGACAAAAGTATTCAACAGAAGCATAGAGATCTATTTGAGATGATTTGTATCAGACACGCCGATGAGTTGGGCAAGGTGGATTGCGTGGGCAGAATATTAGTACAACACCTCATACCATTCAACAACAAAGACCACTCATTTCAGGATTCTCTATGGAGAGATCCACCCCATCTGATTTATTATGGGCAGAGTGCTACACCCATGTCTAGTATTGAGCAGTAGTTAGAGGAGAGGAACAAGGTATTATATGAGCTAAAGGGACATTTGTTTAGTGCCCAACAGATCATGAAAGGAAGGATGGTGAGAACAAGAGAGAAGTAAACTTCGAGCCAGGAGATATGGTTTACTTAAAATTAAGGCCCTACAGACAGAAAATACTAGAGAAATCATCCCTGTGGTACTTTGAGCCTTATGAGGTCATGGAGCGTATTGGAGCAGTAGTTTATAGACTTATGCTACCACCTTCATCAGTTTTACACCCACCCAGTCTTTCATGTCTCACAACTGAGGAAGACAATAAGAGAGCATACACCATCATCTCTACCTCCAACTTTGACAAAGGACATGGAGGTCATTTTGGAACCCCTGGAAGTAGAGGGTGTGCGCAGAGGGGAGATAGGGGCACAAGGGGTGCTAATTAAGTGGAAAGACTTGTCAGAGCATGATGCCACATGGGAGCCATACGAGGCAATCATGAGACAATTCCCTAACTTTCACCTTGAGGACAAGGTGCATTTGGGGAGGGGGGTATTGATACGAGAGAGGACAATTCATCCCCCTTGTGGGGCCCATCATTAACCTATCATTACATATGTGAGAAGAAATTATGAAAGGGAATAAGGGATTAATTAGGAGATGTTTCCTAATTAAAAAGGGCTGATTTGAAGGAGATTAATTAGGAGTTATTTCCTAATTAAAGGGGGCAAATTTGGGGGCTGAATTGGAGAAGATTAATTAGGAGATATTTTCTAATTAGAGAGGGCTGATTTGAGAGGAAGTTGAGGGAGGGCTGTTTTAGAATTTGTTGTTTTATCGTTTGCTGTAAGTGGTATGATTTATGTTATGTTTGTATGTATAATTTGATAGGAGAGTGATGTAGTCTTCTTTTTGTGAGGGATCTTAGTGGCGTCTTGGGTTTGAGAGAGAAGATCCTCCTCTCAAAAGAGGACCATTGTATCTTGCTTTATTTGTATTTGATTTCCTGTCAATAAAAATTTGTTTTTGTGTTGAATCTCTTGGAGTTTATTATTTTTTATGCCATGACACAGCAGTATGGTGCAAAAAAAAAAGAATTATGCTGATGTTTCTTCTAGCTTTATCTCATCGAATTCCTTATCCACAATGTTGTAGCATGCTCCTTTGTTGACAACTTGTGATCATTCCTCCCTTCAAATTACCCAACTCTATAGGGTTAACCATACATGTCAATGGCGTAAAATGGCGCGTGCCATTTGCCATCATGGAGTAGTCTCCATCCATTTTGTTGATGATTTTCCATTGGGGCAACGAAACAAACAAAGGATGGTGAGATTGGCTATACAACTTGAAGGGGTTGAATTCCATGGTAAAAGTTTTGTTTATAAACTCATTGGAGTAGAAAATTGATTGAATAGACCTCTTCTATAAATGAGTTCTTTTTTTTTTTCTCAGAAATATAGCACAATGCTCTAAATTCGGGCTGCTCTTAAGAATACATGCTAAGGGTATTATGATTGTGACCAAATACTTTAATACTCTTACGTAATTATGACAATATATGAATAAGTTTTATAAAATCAATTGGATTTTTCCAAAAGATAAATTGAAGTATAGATAAATGCTTGAGAACTAACGCATATTTAATTTCCTTATTGGATTGAATAAAGATTTGAATTAAGAGAAAATTTATTGGGAATGAAAATTTTTCTCAACATACATAAAAGATATGCAGAATTATCTAATATATTATAGTAGAAGTATAATAGTATATAAAGAGTCGTTTAGGACTCAAGAAACTGCTCAAAATTAGTCTCACAATGCCAAAATCAACTACAGTTAACTTTCCAACAATTATAATCAACTAGCCTTTTCCACGTCAGCTAATGTATGAAACAACTAACGTTCTGGTAAATCATACTAAATTCATTTTTAACATATAAAATCACATTTAAAAAATTCAAGGACTTCAATGGAATATGAATTAAGTCTGAATTCATTACTTGTTACATATTTTATTTATTAGTACCAATTTTTACATAGTTTCAATAAATTTTATATAGATTAAATGAACTTTAAAAAATCAGTAGCATACCTTTAAAATTTAAAACAAAAATAAGAAGTTTAAACCTACTTAAAAATTAATAAGATATAAGATAACAATCCATAAATAACATAATTAAATATGATTAGCATCTAAATAACAATCTAATGATATAAACTCAAATATACCTTAGAAAAATGTTAGTAATTAATTCTAAGCGTAATTTTTTTTTAACATATTATTGAGAAATAGTAATTATTCTAAATCATGTAATAATAAATATTAGTAAATTAAACAAATAAATCTTTAACATAAGTTTATGTTCATCATCTTTACGATATTTTAAAATAAATAATAATAATCATTAGATGGAAATTCTCATAATCCCAATATTAATGTCCGTATTATAGGTAAGATAAAAAATAACCTCAATTACCTTGATGATACTTTAGTTTTGTGCCTTGCCATTATCTAATATACTCATTATGTCCATGCTTGAGTATGAATTACACAGGTTCTGTCATTGTATGGCTTGTTTCTGAAAGCTTTCTTGCTGCTATAAATTCACCTCAATGATGTAGGGCTTACCTCATTTGCAATCTACTTGGCTTATGCTTGGTTTCTGTACTAGTCAGGACCCTTGATGTTAATGTTTTAGATTGTTTTTGAATATCTGATATCCTTATCTTGTAAAAAATTTGGTTTCTTTCATGTTACATTTGGAAAGCTTAACAATTTTCTTTGACTTTTGTAGAGGTTCATCTGTGGTGGGAGGTTGATATTTGGACCTGATGCGCGGTCGCTCTTTATCACTATTTCACTTATAGTTATTCCTCTTGTGATATTCTGTGTCTTTGTTGCAAGACATCTTCTCCACAAATTTCCTACATACAATGCAGGATATGCTATTTTGGTGGTTGCAATTGCTTTTACTATCTATGTAAGTCTTCAAAGCTTTCACTACGAAATCCACATTGGTAGACAAACCATGTATTTATTAAATCTAATTTTTGTTTGTGTTCACTTACCATTATAAGCTAATCTGGTATTTAAACTTTTTTTTTTTGTTTTTTCTTTTCATAGTTTTAATGAGTTCGGTCAGACAAAATATTCTCTGTCATTATTTTAGTCTGACTTTTCTCTAAAACCGTTGTCTTTTAATTCATCTTCTCACATAGTATTTGTGGTCTAACAAACACATTCAACAAGAAACTTAAAGAAGCACAATATTCAAAATTTGAAATGTGCTTGCAGACTATATTTGAACGGGTTCCCTTCTACTACCTCAACTTCGATGGACTCAATTTTGGTATATTGATGTGCAATGTAGTTCAACGCATTTGTGCTATGTTTTTGGCATCTTCATTTTATTTTTGGTGGTTGCAATTTCTTTTACTATCTATGTAAGTCTTCAAAGCTTTCGCTACGGAAAATGTGCACATACACATTGGTGGACAAAGCATGTATTTATTAAATCTAATTTTTATTTGTGTTCTCATAACATTATAAGCTAATCTGGTATTAAATTTTTTTGTTTTTGCTTTTTTAATGTTATGACCATAGTTTTAATAGGTTCAATTTGACAAAACATTATGTCATTATTTTACACCGTCTTTTCTCTTAAAGCGTTGTCTTTTGGCTCATCTTCTCACATAGTATTTGTGGTCTAACTAAACACATTGTTAGGAAACACTTGAAGATTTAAAGTAATTCCCATCAATTTCGGAAAAATAGCAGGAAAAATTCTTCCAAACTCAACTAAAACTAGAAAAGTAGTAGCTTTTATTGCAATAATCAAAGATATGGATGGAAAATACCAAGATACAATTGATCCTCTATTTGAGAGGAGGATCTATCTCTCCCAAATTTGTAGACGCCGCTAGAGCTCAAAGAAACTAAGAGATCAAATTTAGCCAAATTCAAGATGCCCTAACCCTAGGAAAATAAACTATTTAATACATACAATCCAAAAGAAAATATCTAAACAGTCCCTACATTCAAATTTCCCTCCTAACTTCCTCAAAAAATCTTCCTAAACTGCTCCCTTAGGCCCGGCGGCTTGAACGACACGTATAGGAGAGGCGGAAGACTTCGCCTAAGCCGGTCTCGTGTGGATCGGTTCGACCGGTCTAAAAATACTCCCCTCACAAAGACCCACCTTGTTCGTAAGGTGGAAAGACGACACCCTCCTCCATTCCTTCTTCATCACAAACGGTAAGAGCCTGAAGAGTCCGGTCCTTACACCTGTACCCTGGTGTATACCCCTCGTTACATCTGAAATAGAGCCCCTTCATTCTTTTCTCTTATAATTCAATTTATGTGAGCTTCTTGAAGTTTTTCACAGGTCTTACTCCTACAGTCTTCTCCTTCGAAGTCACTCGAAAAGTATTCGATGTTGGCTCCTTGGTTCCAGAAAGGTAGTGGTCCTCATGTTCGGACCTCCTGAGTTGTTGCCTTCCGTCTCTCTCTCCAGGTGCCTTTAATCCTCCACCAATTAAGCTAGCTCTATAGCCTCTACTAAGTCGCGATGCCTCATTAGTCTCACAGTTGCCCGGATCTCTAGTGTTAGTCCCTTCATGAAATTTCTCTCTAACACTATCTCAAGAAAGCGGTCCAATCGACTAGCAAGTTACTCGAATCCCTCCTGGTATTCCATCACTGAACCATCTCGTGTCAAGGCGAAGAAGTGCTTGTAGAAGTCTCTAAGGGTGTCAATATTGGACAGGATCTAAAAACCCGACACAAAAATTTCATGTTCGGGTCCTGATTTTAGACTCGTTTGGAATTTCGGATTGGGTTTGGGTTTACTCGGAAACCCAGTTTTGACCTGACATCCAGCCAGGAACCCGAACCCGGGCTCGAACAAAAAAGCGCATGAAAGGGAGAAAGTTTCCTTCACAGCGAGCGAACTCCCCTCATTGCTTCCAATCCAAATGTTGTAACTTCCAATCCGAATGGAAGGGAATGTCGTCCAAGGAGCGAAGTCAAACAACGCACGAAAAGGAGAAAGTTTCCTTCACAGCGAGCGAACTCCCGTTGTTGCTTCTGATTAAAATGTTGTAACTTCCGATCCGAATGGAAGGAAACGTTGTCTAAGGAGCGAAGTCGGACAACGCACAAAAGGGAGAGTTTTCTTCACAGCGAGCGAACTCTCGTCGTTGCTTCCAATCAAAATGTTTTACCTTTCAATTCCGACTGGAGGGGAACGTCGTCGAAGAGCGAATTATGCGGGTTGGGTTCGGGTTGACCCGAACCCGAAGCGGGGTAGGGTTTGGGTCCAAACAATCGATCCATTTATAAAAAAGGGTTGGGTTCGGGTTGAACTGAATAGTGCTGGGTCAGTTTCAGGTTGGACCCGAACCCGACCGCGACCTGATTTTGACAGCCCTAGAAATTTCCTCCTCTGCCCGTTCGGAAACTTTCTACCAAACAATATTTGAACCAATTATTACGTCCTCTGACCGGACGCAGAGGAACGTCAGGTCGGAGGCCAAATCCCGTCAAAAAATAAGTTGTACCGAGCAATACCAAACAATAAGGAGGAATACCATCATTTGAAGACCCAATACCAAGTTATACCGAGCTAAATCGAGAAATACCGAGTTATACAAAAGTTGAACCGAGTACAACTTTTGTATAACTCGGTATTGGTCTTCAAAGAGCGGTATTTCTCGTTAATATCAAATAATACCTAGTTGTACCAAGCAAATACCGAGTTTTTTGGCGGGATTTTGCCTCCAACCGGACGTTCCTCTACGTCCTTACACCGGACGTAATAAAAGTTCCGAACTTCTTATGGGTTGTCGCATGTCCCTCCACTGCTACCAAGACAAAACATTCCCTTCCAAACATAGGCCCGCTGCCATTAGTTTCTCCTTCTCCGCCAACCCATTGACGGTGAAATATCTTTCTACCTTGTATTTCCACTCATGCGGGCATCCGACGGTGGACGATATTCAAAGGAAGAGTCGAAAATAGACGACCGAGATCACTCCGTTTTATTTTAGTTTATTAATTGTATTTTGATTTAATTTTGCAATTTTCCTTTTTTACCATTTTTATTTAAGAGTCTTATCTTATGTAAGCCCAAGGGGCAAAATTGTCTTTTAGTTTCTTTTGAGGCCTATATATAGAGGTCCCTTCTCTTGTATTATGAATGATGGAATTATAATAAAAATTTGTGTTATGCACTTGTGTTCTTTTGGGAGGATGTTAGTGAGATTTCTATGGGAAGGATTCAGAGTTTTTACCAGCCGCAGGATGGGTCCGATCTCGTGGCTTGAAGTCCCTTGGAGAAGGGCAACGTATCACCTGTCAGTCTTCGGAAGAGTCCAAGGCTCGCGGTTTTATCTTTCTTTCCATACACTTTTTTCTCCTTCTCCCTTGACCACCGACCATATCCCCTCCATAGCCGTCGGCCAAGCTTCTCTCCTCCCACTCTCTAAACCTAACTCCACCATCCTCATAGCCGCCAGCAACTCCCATCCTTTTTCTCTTAATGATGATTTCAATCATCATTAATACCTACCAAAATTAGCCTACCTAATTCGGGGAAAGAATTAAAGCTATTTGAAATTCAAATTTGAATTTCAAATACTTTCCTAAAATAACTAAGCTAACTTAGGAAAACTCCTAAATTAAGTCTAATTTTATCTTAAATTAGATTTGATTTAATTACATTTTTCCTAATTTAGAATCATGATTTAGGAAGTTTAAATTCCCTCCAAAACCCCCTCTTTCCTTAATTAGATTATCATTAATTTGGAAAGAAATTTAAATTCATATTAATCTGATTTGAATTTCAAATCCTTCCTAATTAATTACTTTAATTTTGGAAGCTTCCCTCGTCCTATTAATTAATCAAATCTGAAATTGATTGATTAATTAATCCCTAATCTACATATATTGAACCTAGACACATCTTCCCTCCCCTCTTTCTCTTGATTGGAGCCAATCTCGCTTTGATAGCCTACTTTCCTAAAATATTATAGATAATTTTGGAAAGAGAATCAATCTGATTTGAATTCAATTCAAACTTTAAATTCTTTCTAAAAATATATAGTGTTAAATTAGGAAATCTCTTAAATCAATCCAAATCAATTTCAAATTAAATGGGATTAATTATCCCTCTTTCTAAAACTGAAATTTAATATTTGGAGATCATTAACTCCAATCCACTTCCCAAACTCATGCATGCCGCCAGTTTCCCCACCTTCTCTCTCCTATCTCCCTCTCTCCCCATTAATTCCCCTTCCCCTTTGGAGTTAAATTTAAATTTCAAATTCCAAATCCCTCCAAATTAAAAATTTGAAAATTAAATTTAGATTTTAAGTGGCTAGCTGCTCCCGTCCTACATCATCCACCCATGCACATCCTCCCCCTGAAAGATTGACATCTTCAGTTTCCTCACCCTCGGATCGCCTCCGTTCCCTCCATAATTTCTCATTCCCAAGGGGGTGGTTTTTCCCCCCAAGTGTCCAAATTATCCCTTCTACGCTCATACCCAAACCTTTTATCAAATTCTCATAGTCTCCTTTCAAATTCAGCACCCCTTGGATCATAATAAATCCCTCTCCTTTCAATTCCAACCCCTATTCAGTTATAGTTACCCCTTTCCCTTTCAAATTCTCCCCTCTTCTCCAATTTAGCACACCTTTGTTCATGCTCCACCTAACGCTTCTACCCATACCCCCTACCCGGCTCCCCTATAGGAACAGGCTCCAGGGGAGGCATGCTCTCTTTTCTCTTTTGAGTCTTCACCTCCTAGTCTTCCCTTTGCCTTATTAGGTTAGAGTTTTCCCCGCTTCCTAGGTTGCCGGAGGCTTCCCTCGCCTCTGATGATGCTGTTTTTATTGGCTCTCGAGCAACTTCTTCAACGTCTCTCCCAAGATGGAAAAATTCCCATCCATCTTCTCGTGGATGGCTGAAATTTGACCTTTGTCATCTGAAAGTTGAGTGTGAAGATATGAAATTTTGAGTTTTCAATTGTTAGATCTCCCCTTTTAACACTTCTATTTTCCTTCATGCCATAAGAACTTGGATATAGGCTCCAATAGCAAGAGCTGCAAATTTGACGCAAATTCTGGCCTCCAATAAGCAAAAAAACAACACGATAGGATACAAAACATAACAAAATTCAGCGAACAAGACTTCTATTTCAGTCCAGGAAATTGCTATGATACCAATTTGATAGAAAATACTTGAAGATTTAAAGTAATTCCTATCAATTTTGGAAAAAAACAGTGAGAAAAGCTCTTCCAAACTCAACGAAAACCAGAAAACAATAATTTTTATTGCAATAATCAAAGATACAGACAAAAAATACCAAGATACAATTGATCCTCTATTCGATAGGAGTATTTATCTCTCCCAAATCTCTAGGCGCCGCTAGAGCCCAAAGAAACTAAGTGATCTCAAATTCAGCCAAATTTAAGATGCCCTAACTCTAAGAAAACAGACTATTTAATGCATATAATCCAAAAGGAAATATCTAAATAGTCCCTACATTCAAATTTCCCTCCTAACTCCCTCAAAAGACCTTCCTAAACTGTTCTCCCTGAGCCGGTCCCGTATGGACCGACTAGACCGGTCTAACACATTCAACAATAAACGTAAAGAAGCACAATTTTCAAAATTCAAAAGGTGTTTGTAAACTGTATTTTAAAGGGTTCCCTTCAACTCCCTCAACTTCGACAGATTCAATTTTGGTATATTGATGTGCAATGTAGTTCACCGCATTTGTGCTATGTTTTTGGCATCTTCATTTTATTTCTTCTTTTTTAGGGGTGAATGGAAAGAAGGATTCATAAAGAAATGGGGACAAAGATTTATAAAGTCATTCCAAAATAGTTGGTATAAAAGCCTAATGATGAGGAGGGTTACATTTGATGTGTTCAAAGCTTTGAAATGCATTCAATTAAGATTTCATTATTTCAAAAACATTGGTTCATCACTGACTTTTAAACATTATTCTATTAATTGTTCCTAAAATTAGACATTGATATTTTATGATTACGATGTTTCTAGATCTCTTCAGTGGTATCTTAAACATCTTAGAGTTTGTTTGAGGCGAATGCAAATTTTGTAAAGGTGGTTGTAAAGTTGTTGTAGGGAAAATAATTTTTTTGAAGGTTGTTAGTATTATAAATATTTACCTTTTTTTTTGTAAGTTTAACAACAACCTTTTTACAGCTATCACATATTAGCACATTTGATTGTAAAAATAACTTTCCATCATAGAAATTAGTGTAGAGCAGTAGCCAAACAAAAATGTAAAAATGATTTGAAAAGAAAAGCAATGAGAAAGTTGTCCCAAACAAGCCCTAAGGATTTCTTTGGCATGTTTTGCGCTGTAGTATGAAATAAAGTCATCACACGTCATGGAGGTTGACAGGTTGCTCTACAATTATGTTTTTCATTACCGCGAAGCTTTGGAGGGGTTGTGCTTGATGGCTAGGAATTGTTGTTGTGCATTTTTGGCTATAAAGTGCATTTCTCTTCTTCCACACTATATAAAAGCAGTATATTATATGTTAAAGAAACTCAGCAATTGAAGCCTTAATTTCATTACACAATGAATATGTGAGACTTGTCTTCCACGCAACCATGGGTTCTTTCATTGAGTCACTCTTTTTTGTCATCCAATGGGTTGCTCAGTAGCATTGGTTTTAATGATTGAGCTAGTTTTTCTAGTTAAAAATTTTCTGTCTCAATATTTCATCAGATTTGGTTTCACTTTTAATATCACAAGTACCTGTATATTTGGGTGGAAATGCATTTCTGAAAATTCTTTTGCTTTTCATGTTAATTAGTTGGGAATCTGTAAGTATTACCATGTTTATGCTAATAGCAATATTTTGTTTTAGGTACTTGTGCTGCTGATGCTCACTTCAGCTCAAGATCCTGGTATCATTCCCCGGGCTTCCCATCCTCCAGAGGAAGAAATCTCCCATGATTCAAGTATTCTGGATTCGACACCCAGCAACCAAATTCCTCGTTTTAAAGAAGTGATGGTTAATGGCATGCCTGTGAAAGTCAAGTACTGTGATACTTGCATGCTGTATCGGCCGCCTCGGTGTTCGCATTGCTCAATCTGTAATAATTGTGTGGAACGCTTTGATCATCACTGTCCTTGGGTTGGGCAGTGCATTGGATTGGTATTTGAATGCTTTACTGTCCATTTACAGCTATAATATGCATAATTCCATAATTTTAATGCATCTCATATTTTGTTTATTATTATTATTATTTTTAAATATTTCATCTATTTCTTATTGCTATTTCTGGAATTTTTTGTATCACATTTTTTTCATGTGGACTAAAAAGATGCTATACATTTATTTAGAGGTTTGATGGAGAAGTATAGAGAGAATGAGGACTACATATGATATTTATTGATTTAGAGAAAGCATATGATAAAGTTCTAAGATAAATGTTATGGAGAGTTCTAGAAAAGAAATGAGTTAATAATGCTTATATTCAAGTCATTAAGGATATGTATGTAGGAGTTTTTGTGTTCAAACACAAGGTGATTTGATCAAGTATTTTTTAATTTCAATTGGATTACATTAAGGATCAATTTTTTAAGCCCGTATCTTTTTTGCTTTAGTCGTGGATGTTCTTGCTAGACATTTGTAAGAGGATGTACCTTGGTGTATGCTTTTTGCAGATATATTCTTCTTGTTGATAAGGCTAGAGAGGGAGTTGAAAGTAAACTTGAATTATGGATGTCAATCTTAGAGTCTAAATGTTTTCATTTAAGTAGATTTAAAATTGAATACATGGAGTGTAATTTTAATAGTAATAGATCTAGTGGAGGGATTGTGACTTTGGGCGATCAAGTCATTAGTAAGAGACTAAGAGTACACGTTTTAGATATCTCGTGTCTATTGTTCAAAGCGATGGTGAAATAGATGTGGATATTATTAGTATAATTCAAATGGGATTGTTGAAGTGGAGTAATGCATCGAGCTTGTTGTGTAATAGAAAAGTACCTCTCTTAAGTTGGATTGTTGAAGTGGAGTAATGCATCGAGCTTGTTGTGTAATAGAAAAGTACCTCTCAAACTTAAGAAAAAATTATATAAGATAGTGGTAAGACCTGCAATTCTTTATGGCGCAGAATGTTGGCCGTTAAAAGAGAAGCATAAAACGAAGTAAGTGTTGCAGAGATGAGGATAATTAATTAACATAATTTAAATAATGAAGTAATTTTAAAATATACAATCAATTTTAAAATACAATTAATCAGCTAAGTAATTGATTTTAAATTAAAACTTAACTTCATTTAAAAATTTATTTAATGAATTAATATAATTAATTAATGCAATTATATCAAAATTAAATAAAATGGAATACATAACAACGTTCACACTAATTGACGTTATAAAACTCACACTAAAACTTAAACTCTTAAAATACTAAAAAAAAAATACAAAACAGAAAAAATACTCCAAAAATCCTAATATAAATCGAGCTCCTAGCAAGTTCTAAACCTCTGGTGAGCTCCAGCTCCTGGCAAAGACTGCAACTGTAGCCACTTGTGAACTCTCCATCTATTGTAACTTTTGTTGACATGCACTTGCAAACAAATAGATAAAAATCAGCACATCATAAATAAAATTAATACTGGAAAGTAAAACTAGCAGGTAAAGCTAATTACTATAGGCAGAACGAAGTGCTGGAAAGCATTTAAAGAGCAAACAACAGTGCTAAAGTAGAGTGACAATACTAAGTAGAAAAAAAGCTACAAGCACACTACTGAAAGCTAGAGTAGAAAATAATTGTTGGCTAGTAAGTTTCGAAACAACGACTGTAGGCTAGTATTGAGGCAAAGCTGGCAAAACAAGACGTTTATGTGGGTGTCAAAACACTGAAATGTGCAAAACATCAAATTCCTAACACGCCAGTAACTTTCAATGAAAGTTGTAAGTCCAACTTAAAAAAAAATCTTTAGGAAAAAATGATTTAACCCCTAATCCGTAATTAACATGCTGACAACTTCTAATAGAAGCCATAAGTCCAACTTCTGAGGGAAATGTCTAGGTAATAACATAACCCTAGACCCATTGTAAGTGCATCATGGTCTATATGGCTAGGTTGTAAGACCCATCATATGGATCATTTAGCTTACAGGGCTAGGTCGTAAGATCCGTCGTCAGGCAACTTCTAGATCTAGAAGTCATAAGACCTATTTAAACATTCAAACCCACCAATGAACATCTTAGTCTATAGGGCTAAGTTGTAAGACTCGCTATTTGGTAGAGGTTGTAAGAATTGTCATTAGGACTACTTTCAAATGAAAGCCTGTGGGCTCCGAAAATTCGTCCCCGGCCTCCGCCCGCTGATGCTTTTCTTCGGCGAGGGAGTTTTAACGAAACTATGTTCCGAGGTAAATTATGGAAGACAGATGGGTTTGTAGATAAGACACTACCCAGAGATTTTGCTCTCATTTTGTGAGGACTTTATGATATGAGTTATGGTTTCCTATAGGCGCAAGCCCCTATAGTTAATTACCCCTCCCGATAACGAGAAAGAACTTTCGATTAAGCCAGTCGTCAATTAGATACGTAGAGTATACGCATTATCAAGCATATAGTAGCAGTATGGGTTTGAAGTTTGAGAATTTGGAAATTTGAAGGTTGGAAGATTGATATTTAAAAAAACTTGAAATTTCACCATCTTGCACTTAAAGCGGATGGTGGGGGAATGGATGATGGACTCGATAAGATCCCATGGTTCCGTCATCCCGGGCCATCATGGTCCCTGGTTTACTTAGTCAGAGGAGGTAGTCGACCCAACCTGACAGAAGGATCCTTGTCGGCAACCATGAGTTTTTTCGTCCAATGGTACCTTGTAGACATGGGGTGAATGTTTGTTTGAGGGGATAAATTTGAATCCACCTTAGCTAACAGAGGGCTTTATACCCTATCGATCATATCCTATTGATTCATAACTCAAGGATTTGATCAAAAAAATAACTCAAGGATTTGATGCCATTAAGGAGCGTATTGGCTCTGACCATAAGAGATGTTTCGTGGTGCCATTTGGTGGCAAAACTACTCAGTTCAGAGGGCCTCGGGTCATAACCGTTTATCCTACGGTGCCATTTGGCGGCAAAATCGCTGGTTAGAGGACAAGTACCACGTCCTTACTAGTAGGAGATTGTTTGAGAGTGGATCATAGTGATATTTTCGACCAGACATTTAGCTCTATGTGAGCTGAAGTTATGTTTGAATTTGTCCATCTCGGCAAACTATTGCGAATGGTGGATGAATTTTGCTTTAAGTGGTGTATGGTTAGATTTTAGTTTTAAATATTTTTAAATTTCTGGATTTTGGATCTTGGATTTTTTGATATATGGGATGACATTTGAAATATTTGTTAACCCCTCCGGTTGAGATTTTCGTTCAACGTGGCCATCATCGGGGTGAAAGGGGTTATTTCTCTTTGTTGATTGAACCCCGTCGACCCTATTAACTTGCCGATAGGGGATCAAGTTTTGTAGGTTTTGAACATTTATTAGTAAATTCTCTTGATTATAGGCCTTGAAGGCCTAATATGAATGTATTAAAATAAATATATCGGTCTCCACAACTGTATATTTATTTGATGGTTCGAACCCTGTCTACTCCTATTGATCTGTATAGAAGGATCGGGTTCGAACTTGAATTCACTTATTGACCAGCGCAGCATTCCTAGACGTCACATGTGTTCCTACAACATGCTCACCGGGGCCCTTGCGGGTGTTTGAGGGCATTTTGTAATTATTTATTGATCCTTATCGACTCTTATCTACCTGCTTAGGAGGATCGAGTTCAAATTTATTGATCCGCACAGCATCCTTAGACGTCACGTGTGTATCAATAACACACTCGTCGGGGCCCATGCGGGTGTTTTGGGGCATTTTATAATTATTCCCTGTCGACTCCTTTTTACCTACTTAGGAGAATCAGGTTCAAATTTAATAACCCGCGCAGCGTCCCTAGATGTCACGTGTGTACCAATAACACGCTCACCGGGGGTTCGTGCGGGTTGTATTATACATTTACCCATTTAGTGTACCTATGTGTATACAAACTATGGTGTATGTGCGAGGTATTTTTAAATATTTAGTTTTGATCAATTGAGTGGGCAACCATCATTAGAATTCAACGTCTACTTGAAAGCTCGTACACGCCTTATGTTCACTTGTATACATGTTATGGATCCGGTGGCATGGCGTAGTAGCTTATAGATTGAGTTGTTTGCTGCCTTGTACATGTAGACTGTCGTGCACCACTTACATGATTTATGCAGGTAGATTATAGCGCACTAACTAATCTCCAGCTTTTGTCAGTAGGTGTTGCTATCTACTGTAATTCCCATGAATTCTTCTTGTAGATGGCATGTTAAGTGTATAACGGGGTTCCTTCAGAAGCTCGTAGGCACTTGCATTTGTCACATTCTTTTCATATTTTGCTTGTTGATAACATCTTGGATGTATATCCATGTTCACCCTTTCATCGGTATTTGTAGCCGGTACATATTCTTTAGTGTAACTCCTTTGTTTGTATTAGCGGGAGATTCGTCATGCTTAAGCCGTGTTGTTTGTGATCGCTTATAAAAGTTTGAAATATTATTGCATTCATTCTCGCTCTTTCTTGTGTGTGTTGATTAATAAGATGTTGCATTTGTCATCAGCTTCCTTATACCCGTTGATCAGTGAGCTGCAAAATCAACTCGTAGGTATTTTAATGTTCGTGGACATTGTTGTAGATACTTGTGTACTGATCACTGTTGGCTCTAGAATACTATACCATTCATTGTTTGCCAATGATTGTCACTTGTAAATATGTTATTACATCTATGACTGGATTCTGGCTTCATTGTATGCATTGATTGGTGAATTGATACATTCCTTGTGTATCAATCCTCAAAGCCCATGGGCATCAGCATCCTTTGTTTATGTGTCAACCGACATCCGTTGAATGTCTCATTCGTTTTGCATCTTATGCTTCATATTCATGAATAACTCATGACATATATATTCTCACCCAGCACTTGTGTGCTCATTTCTTCTTCATGGACAAGCTATTATCCTTGTGTGAATATCATATGCATTCATTTATGGCTAGATCACATATCCTTATCATTGCTCATTGCTTGTAGACAAACTA